ACACAAAAAACAGAAACAAAGACAAAAAAGGTTTTAAAAAAATCTGAAAAACTGTACAACTTTTCAAATTAGAGACATGTTAAGAATGCAGGTTATTGACTAGGTTAACTATAACAACCTGTTCGTCACAGAGTTTATTTGCTAGGTAAGGTATTATAGAACTTTTATGCTTTTGGTTGCGTGCATGGATTTTAATGTAATTACGTTTCGTTCTACCAGAAGAAGATATACAAGAAGAAAGATAAGAGTGAAGGGGATGGTTAGTATCTGATAAAATAACACCTGCCAGGAGTTTGCATGACTTTAGATGTCTATCCACAACCATATTAATTATGACCTCAAAAGATTCACCACACACACCCTTTTAACTGCCTTCAGCACTCTCCCCAATACAGCAAAGTGTTTTCTCAAAAGCCCGAGAAAGAATAATGGAGATAATAGATCTCTCTATCTCTTACAAATCTTTTTTAAAATTTTCTAAACATTAAATAATTTCCGGCAATTATTGATTATCGATATTCGCATGTTCATAATATGTATCTTTCAATGAAGTACTATGATGCCTTAGAATATGATATGCATGTGTGTTATTCCTGAAATACGTGTATATATATATATGTGTGTGTGTATGATTTACTAACTTGTTTTGGAATGTAAAAAAACAATGGATACTACTTAGTTTAAAAACATAAAATTCAATGAAGTAATTTCTTTCCTTTTCCAATAAATCTATTACATCATTTATATTCATTGTCTATGTTTCTCCACAAAATTGTTCCTTAAAAGTTCATATATATATGTATATACAATTGTATAGCAAGATACTAAGTTCTTTAAAAAGAAGTCCTTTTGATCAATTTCCTGCTGTTAATATTACTCACACCCATTGGAATGATTATTATAACTAGTCTAGTGTGACAGGACTAAAGTATAATAGTTGTGACCTTAAGCGACTTTTAAATGACCTTCAACGATGTTTTTTTTTCCATTTTTAGCTAATCAGAGGACAGTTAGTAAAAATATTAAAAAATTCATTCATATTACTGAAATGCTTACCACTTACTAATTCTGTCTAAATAATTTTTTATCTACCATACTTTCTTTTCCAAAGGACTATTTCTTCAATTCTTATGATTCAACCCATCCCACCTATAAACAGTGTTTCTCTCATCAACATTTCTGCTCACACTTCTCTACAATATTAATACTATTGCACTTTTTTGACTTGGTTTGCATCAATAAAGACAACTGCATCAGTTATCAGTGTTGATGTGGTCCAAGTCATTATTTTAAAAAAAAGTATTAGTTGTCTATAAGTCACTTTCCACCTCCCTCAAATGACATGTCGTAGTCGAGGGTGAAGAGAGTCCGCTCTCCCTCTCGAAATGCTCTCACATGACCACGCGTATACAGCCACTGACATGAAAGTCCTATTCACTGCCTTCTCGTATCATGGGTGTTGTTTAAGAAATTGAGGAGGAAAAGCGAATGTCCGACGCTTTAACCGGGTTGGTGGGTATGGAGAAACCACCTAGGGGAGTTGGAAAACTCTCATTCCAAACCAATGGTGCACATGGGCTCCAGGATCCTGACAGAAAAAATGTTGTATGAACCTATTGTTGGTCACCGGCCACTATGGGACTGCATCTCCTAACGTTGCTCCACTGACTTGTGGATCAATCTTTTAGTTTGAGGGCTCCGGGTGTGTCCCCCTAAGTAAACCACCTACTTCGGTCTGGGCAACCGGGCAGTATCACAGCCCACACACAAGTCGGATGATTTGTGTGGCGCATATGTATTCGGTGCCCCTTTGTACCAATATTTATGGTCCAGATGAATAAATAAAATAGTAAGAATAAAGTTAGCTTTTACCGAGACTTCTTATGCCTACGTAGTTAGCGCTAGAGTATAACATGACCACATTTATCTTAATATTCCACTTGTCTTATTTTTTGCAATACAATCACAAAAAAATTAATTTTCCCAAGCAGTTCCTTACCTTGTATTTCATTTCATTTTTGTCGTAATTAGGAGGTATACGATTGATATTCAACGTATTCATTCAAATTACCTAATGTGACGTTGAAGTAACATTTTGAAACTTCATTAATCTTTTCTTATACTTTTACAAAATATCTCACTCCCGCTACACAGATACACACCTATAGCCGACTTTCTAACACAATTGGGATGTGAAAACTTATTAATGTTATTCAACTGATGAAACAAAAAATTATGGCGTCTAAAATTTGAAGCAAAACTAACTGAATGAATTAATACCATTGTATAGTAAATTAAATGTCAAAAAATAAACATCATTTACACAATTCAGTGAGTTATAAAGCAATTGTTGGTGGAAAATTTAAATCGATCAAGTTTTATGAAACATACCAATTCTCAATAGTTAACTATCAACATTACCATTTTACTGTGTAAATTTGGTCCAAAATGTATAGGTAGAATTGAATACTTTTCAGATTGGTCAAATAAATATCTACCATAGAAAACCTAGAAGCACTGGACGGCCGTTTCGTCCTAATGTGGGACTCCTCAGCAATGCGCGTCCACGATCCCGCCTCCCATGAGATTCGAACCTAGGACCTATCAGTCTCGCGCGTGAGCGCTTAACCATTAGACGTGACAGGTATATTCAGTTGACGAGTTTCAGGTAGAATAGAACATACAAACGACATTCCATTGCTTGTCGTACACTATATATTACTGGAATTTATGTTGATGATTTTTTCCCGATTGTTTTGTTCAACTTCTAGAATAACGTACCACCCTGTAATTTATTGTATTTGTAATTCAAGCTAAGCTATAAAAGGGAGCTTAAACAAATTTCTAAATAACTTTGACAAACTCTTAACACACATTCATCTAGATAAGAAAACAGCAAGTTCATGTAAATCAGCGATTTATAATTCCAAAACTAGAATTCAAGTTAAATATTATGATCAGAATGGGTTTTGTGGAGATTTTTAGAAATTCCACTGGTTAAAATCATTAGTCAATTGAAGCCAGACCATCATCGAAAACCTGGAAGCACTGGACGGCCATTTCGTCCTAGTATGGGACTCCTCAGCAGTGCGCACCCACGATCCCGCCCCCGGCGAGATTCGAACATTAACACCGTTGGATGCCGGCCCAGTGGTCTAGTTGGTTGAACGCCTGGCGCGAGACCGATAGGTCCTGGGTTCGACGACCGCCCAGTGCTTCCAGGTTTTCCATGGTGGTCTAGCTTCAATTGACTCATGATTTCAACCAGTTAAATATTATGGTTTAAAGCTAGAATTTAAGGGTTTTACAGTTAGTCAATATATGTTCCCAAATTTCTTAATCCTAAATAATAAACTCTACGCCTTAACTCTTAATTCTAATCACTCCTATAACAATATTATTCCAAACTGAATACCTAAATCTCAATCCTAATTCTTAATTCAAATATCTAATTATGTTGCTTTTCATCATTAAAGTAGGTTAAGATATTTTCTTGAATTTAATTATTCATAATACAATCAAGAAGTAACAATAACTTAGTCAAATAATCTATTTTATTAATCGAGTAGACATATTGTTGATTCAAAATATATTCCGTGACCTTAGAGAGATTTATACATTCATCATCATTATCATCATTAGTTCACTCTTATAGTTCTGGTTTACCACCATAGATAAAGATATTAATTATACTAAATTGAACTGATACAAAGTTTTTTGTAAGCGATGATGGATAGTGGCTAGCAGTGGAGTCCAGAACGCACGTTTCGTCCTATTTGGGACTCATCAGCTGGATGTACCTACATCTCAGAGTTGATGTTCACTCCGGAACTCGAACCCAGGACGAAACTCGCGTCCTGGATTCCACTGCTAGCCACTATCCATCATTGCTTACAAAAAGCTTGTGATTTAAGGCAATATCGAGGCATACGAACAGTATGCACATATGCCAATAACAAACTGATCAATTGCAGTCTTAAACGTCAATGGGAAGATACAAGTCAAACAATACCAAGTGATACAAAGGTGTTTCTCAGTAATGGTAAATGATAAGTATTCGATATTTAACAGTTGATTAAACTCTGTGTAGTCAGTTAGTAAAGTGTAATAGTATCAATAATTTGTAAGCAACTAATGTAATCTTTAATTTACGAAAAATGAAGCATAGAAATGATTAGTAGTCGTAATGATAATAACATCCATCGTACAAAATAAGTTTAAAGCCTCATTGTGTAAAGTGAATTTTTATACATTCTTATCTGACTTTTGATTGATAAGTAGGTTTCATGTATCGTATCATCTAGTCTTTATACTGAAATCCTGTAGATTAATTTCTCTCCTAAACGAGATTTTTCTTCCATTTCATCACACTGATTTGCATTTTAATTTATTGATTGATTGGATAAATTGGATAGATCAGTTAACTTGTATCTCCTATCAAAATTACCAGCTTCCAAATGTTATCAGTAAGAAGTTGTGAATATTGTTGAGTTTCATTGAAATCATGTGCTTACTAGTGACTACCTTCGAGAGGAAATTTCCAGAGTCTTAGTTAGAATCCTTACCCCTTGATTAGTACGTAACCTCATTTGTTATTTATTCTCGAATCGATTTTTGTGATGTAATCTTTTCTATCCTCCTATAGACATATATTTTCCATATAACTATATATACGAATGTACAGCTTAAGTGGATGATTTCGTCGAAAGGAAGATTTTCTTCACTGAATTCTCTTCCTCTTATTCAACGACACTATGGATTAATTTAATTATCACAACAATAATGACAATAAAAAGTGTATTAAAACCTGAAATACTTTGGAACTCAATCAGTAGAATTTTAAACAGTCAATAATTGAACTAGATCACTGTTTTGAATTTGATTGCTGCCCATCAGATTCTACGTTATATGTTTCGATACTTGTTTATTCGTGAATACTACATAAAATATTTAGAATTTTATTTGGTTTTTTTAAAAATTATTTTATTTTGTTTATTCAGGTAAAAGATTGTATTGATCTGTTTACACTTCGACGTCATGCTGTAAAAATTATTAGTAAACTAGGTGTACGAAAAATTCCCGGTGGTTGGAGTCAAGCATTACATGAAGCTAGTTTAATGCGAAGATTATCTGCTTGTCGACATGTGGTTTCATTAGTTGTTGTATTACGACTAGAAAATCCAGATAGATTATGTTTAGTTATGGAGCATTGTCTTGGATCAGTACATGATTTACAAGCTTCCGGTGTACCATCTCATACAGCTTTAAGTTCAGAAAATGAATTTGAATTAGATGAATTCAATGCTAAATCATCCTCTCCACGATTATCATATTTTAAACATCAACATGAACAATCATCAGATGTTGTATTAAATGAAAATATTTCAAAAGATAAAAGAAAAAATGTTGATTCTTCTGAAAAGTTGAATAAATCTCGTCGATTTCATCCTAGATTATCAATGGGATCTACACAGATCAATCAAGAAACAGATACAAAATTTAATAAATCAAAAAGTCGTAAAACATCATCCATAGAACAACCAACAAGAAAACGTACATCCTCTCAACAACAACAACAATTTCGTCGACTTCCTGAAGCACAAGCGCATGCCTACTTTTTACAAGTAAATCATTATTATCTTTTCCCTATAGGTAGTTTGTGTAGATTATTGAGTTTCATAATTTACACCGCGAACTAATAATAACAATAATGATATTAGCGAATTGGTTGAAGCTGAACATGTAAAACATTGGATGCTGCCGATTCAATTACTTTGAAAGGTTAGACGTCCGCCTGAAAATCTTGTACCGGATCCCCTTTGAATTAGGGTTGTGGATCCTCACTAGAACGATACAGCCGTCCGACCCATTCTAATTTTCAGTGCTTGGCCAATCAAGATCATTTCGTGATGTAAATTTTGAATTTTATTATTATTCGGATCCTATACTTTGTCCTTGTTCCTGCTCCCAGCTGAGGGGAGGGATAAAGGCAAACGACCTTCAGATTTTGACTAGTTTTAGCCAGTCAGGAGACAGTGAAGATAAATGAACGATTTCTTATACTAGGACTTATGAGATAGAGTTTAGAATTTTCGTATTATAGGTTATATTTGCCCGTAATGAAAAATACTTTAACTCCACATCTTGACTCTATTTTGATGAATGCGCTATGACATTGAAGAGATTTGCATGCTCATCATTCGTTCGTAGGTATAATTCGGTATTATGACGATAAAAATGAAAAAGCAATAACAAACAACGGAAGCGTTTTTTAGGATATTACTACTTTTTGGCCAGTCTTATTATAAAATTGGATAACTTAGCTGACTGATCCTAAGATGTAAAGATATGAGGAAAAAAGGCAATTTATATGCATAGTCTGCTTAATATTAAATACATGAGATTTTTCTTACAAACTTCAGGGTACATATATCTTAACTCTCGTTAGAAGTACTCCTTGTTTATAATACTAACTTGTTCAGACGGTCTATAAATAAGTATGCACAAGTCAATCTTTTCAACTGCCTTATCATTTCACATGTTTGCTCTAAAACTGTACACCTAAACAATTTTTCCCAAATTTAGTTCATCAGTACTGTACATATATATTTACTACTTTCGAGAACCGATGGTACTGATGCTCCTATTCCGTTATCTTATGTGTTTTAACGTTAATTAACCGATTCCGAGGTTTTTGTCCTCCCAAAGCCCTAATCGGAAAATGAAATTCAAACAGTCAATGGAATTTCTGTATATCCGACTAAAAAAATTGGTGAGACTATAATTTATGGACGAACCAATCAGATTTAGGATAACAGGTCTTGGATTTTAGTACGAAATCTACTCACCCATTTGGCCAGATAGCGTCTTAGTATTTTAGCTGATGTTAGTTCGTGATGAAAACCCTAAATCTAAATTTTGACCCTAACTATCAACTGTAAATCATAATTCTAACTGGTTTATAACCCTCATTTAACGGTAGTAAGTAGGTAGACACCCTCAAGGTTACTTTGGCGTCACTCAAAGATCGTCCATAAATTATAGTCTCACCAACAAATTCACATAATTATTTATTAATTACAGGATCACAACACACCATAAATAAGATATTACTTGTGTCTAATTAGAACATTTGCGGTACGAAATCTGATTAATAGGGTTATAATTCATTTACAAAAATTTGCTTTCAGAAAGAAGGATATAACAATAGCTCATTAACCGAATAGAAATCTACAATTTAAGGGAATATGATAAGCACATAAACCAAATACTTAATAAATACATCTTCGTAATGTAACTACTGAATCTCCCATAAAAAATAGCTTCTAAAGTTGGTCATCTTCATAAAAATTGGCACAATGATGCACCAAAATATGAATGCACCTCATAAGTTATCATTGAATTGATGTGTTGGGTTGGGATGTTGTCCAGGTGTTTAAACAGAAACATATGGTTTTATTAAGAAGCCACAACCTGAACCTTTTAGCGTGGCCAAGCAAAAAGGTGTAGTTAAATCAATAAACAACTAAATACTAGCTCATTTAGTCTAAATTCACTTAAATCCTAGCATAAATCAACCATTTTAAACAATTAGTCAGATTTTCCATAGTTGAAATTATGAGTCGATTAAAGTTAGACCATCATGGAAATACCTGGAAGCAAAACACTACTTTTTAATTTCATAGAATAAAAATATTAGTGTTGGACAGATAAACCTATACTATACCGTCGAATAACTTTTGTAATTTTAAGCCATTTAATTAATCAGGTGACGGAAGATTAATCTATAATTCATCATGTTAAGATTTGACATAAAAATATGAAGTTTATAATCCTTGCATTATAGCTGATATCAGTTTGTGATAAAATCTGGAACTATGACTCTCAATCTTAATTTCTAACTATTCTTATATATATATATATATATATATATATATATATATATATATGATAATAAAAAAAAATTTATTTTAAAATCTCTTGGGTAATTCCGTCAAACATCCTCACATTATTCACTAATAGTTTTCTTTCCGAAATGTCAAATGGTCATGCAAGGGGCATGTGTCATGAAGGTAATGTAAAATTAATATGTGATGTAAGACTGAGCTAATTGAACAGTCTAACTTTTGAATCCTTCTGTCCATTTTTTAATCAATTCAAATGGAGATAGACCAAGTGTATTGTCACAAATAGAGACATATTTTAGATGGGGATAAAAGAATTCATCGTAAATCCTGTGAATTATATTGTTAAGATTTTTTTAATTTCCCGTTGTTGATATTCAGATCTACAGTTGATCAATACCTTTTGCTATATGTAGATCCTGATATTACCTCCATGTAGCATTATGCCACAAGTTTTGTATATTCTGTATATGACTAACCGTGGAATCCAGAATGGGCGTTTCGTCCATTGTGCGGCTTGTCATCTGTTTGTGCCTGGATCTCAGTGTTTTTATATTCACATTAAGACTTAAACCTAGTATCTTTCACTTCTAACACCCAAAGAGCTATTAACTAAACCACTGAATCCGAATAACCATTAGATTGTTCAGTGAGTATAATAGTACTGAGTTTGAGTCTCAGTGGAAACGTCAACACGGATGCAGGCACATCCAACTGAAGACTTTCATATATATATATATATATATATATAGCATATTTCTGTTCTATCGTCGTTTTTTCCATCCCTCACTCTCCCTCTGCATTTCCTTTTCTAGTTAATAGACGGTTTACATTTTCTTCATCGTAACGGTGTTATACATCGCGATATTAAACCAGCTAATTTATTATTAACACCTGCACCAGGCTGTGGTTTAAGTGGTTTTGGCAGTCCAAATGGTACCATGGATTTACCAGATCATAATTGGTTATGCAGTACGGGTAGTCAATCAGCGTTTTGTCAACGTTCATTGGCTAATTTATTGGCATTATCACGTGGTTGGTTGGTGAAGTTAACTGATTTCGGCGTATCGGCATCAATTTCAGCATTTAGTACAAATGATATGGTAATTTTATTGAATGCATTTTCTTGTCTTTCTCCTTATTAGTTTGTTTATCTTTCACCCTTCTTCTTCTTCTCGTTCTTCGTGAGATCTCGTTATTCAAACAGATTTACGTGTGAGTGGGCCTCGAATTTATGAACTAGTAATTAAAGGTATTATATCTTAACTAACCAAGTTCAAAGTCAGTAGGATCTAGCACATATTTACATCGGTTCAAGTTGCACAACTAGTATCAGTACAGAGAAATAAAACTATCAAAACATATACCAGAGTGGTAGAACTAGTAACATTATCGTTGTTAGTAGTAGAATAATTTAGTCATTGACGATATAACTCGAGAAAATAAAATAAATTAATGGAACAGAAAGTATAAGTATTTCAGGATAAACAGTTAATGCAACTACTTTTCCACTGGTTACGATAATTACAAGGACCCCAACCAGATAGTCTATATTTACTTACATAGCTTGGTCTAATAGTCACTCACTTTATGGATTCATATTACGTTTCGATTTGACTACCCCTATCTTTCCTCCAACCCAAGTTAGCAAATATTATTTGTTGAGGTAGGCAATGGTTGGTATATATAAAACGTGTTCCAAACTCCTCAGTCAATAAACATTCACTGTTGCAGATTCCAAACACATCCTTCGGCATAGTAGTTACTAGGATCCTAGAAAACCCATAGAAGCGTTTGATCTAGTCAGCTTTGAATAGAAGCTTCCCAGGATCACTGAGAGAAAAGGAAGAATTATGTGTCACGATTTGATTAAGCAGTTGTCTCAATCGCCACTATATTTAGCGTGTTGCTAGAAAGATCTAACAGATTAACATAATATAAAACTCTTAACATACACTGAACTTCTTGTACAGAACTAACCTTAGAGTAAAAAGATCGTACTGACATTTCGCTCCTTATCTCTATTGCTTGAGTTGAAGTGTGGAGGTAGTGGGTAAGAAGTTAGGAGTAAGTGTTTCAGTAGCAGACTTATCAGGTCATCACAAAAGATTCACGTAGAAAAGCTGGAAAATACTTATTATAAACTAATGGCATGCATAAACTGGAGGATCTCGAGGTAACGATCGGAGTGAGAACCAATTCTGGTTTACGACTACTATATAAAGTTGTATTCTCTGACATTGCTCCACTGTCTTGCAGGTTAGACTTCCAGGTTGGGCTATTAAAAAAACCCGCACACCATGGTTTAGGCATCCATATAGTATCCTAGCTTATATACGCATGATAATGATGAATAATAATGCTTAACAGCTCAAAAGAACATAAAATCTTCATTATTTGTCATTTTATTAGAGACTTAAATTCAAAATAATCAATTAGTCATGGTTTAATATCAGTTGGACAACTGAAAAGAAAAGCAACGAATACATTATATAGCTAGATATTTCAACTATCAGCAATGAGCATCTATTAATAGTATCCTTAATAATACAATTCAAGACCTTTAAGTCTCACATTGAACTTGTTCTCTTCAGGTTCATATGAATTCGAAACCTTAAACATTTCACACAAATTACCAGCCAACATCTTAATAAACTTGTTATGTCCTATGACAAAATCGTCAGTCAAAACACCGTTTTATATTACCTTGTCCCTGTACTAAATCAATGATGCGTTAACCAACAGGAGCAGCCTTGAGTCAATTCTGAGTACTTATTGGTCCTCTGTGTGGTAACTTCTCGCCTAGCCCAGCCTTTTGAGTTCACAACACAAATACCAGCTTCTGATGTATGAATCATATATTCTAGACATACTTGATTTATATGCAAGTAAATCAGATCGTATCACACTATAAAATGAAAAATAATGATTATACAAGATCAAGCCAAAAAGTGTCTGTGATTGTGAGAGACTGTAACTAATAAATTAGGAATAATTTAAGAATAGTAAGTCATATAATAGTAGTCTATAGGTCGAATGAAAGCTTATGATAAAAGGAATATGAATATATGTATATTCTAGGTACTTAATAATTATCTCATAAGAATATTCGTAATAATAGTCCATCTATTTATTTATTTATTTGGACACATAAATATTGGTACAAAGGGGCACCGAATACATATGCGCCACACAAATCATCCGATTTGTGTATGGTCTGTGATACTGCCCGGTTGCCCAGACCGAAGCAGGTGGTTTACTTAGGGGGATATACCCGGAGCGTTCGAACTAAAGGATTGATCCACAAGTCAGTGGAGCAACTATAGGAAATGCAGTCCCATGGTAGTCATATACCATTTGTTCTGTTAGGATCCTGGAGCCCATGTGCACCATTAGTTTGGAATGAGAGTTTTTCAACTCCCTGGTTAAAGCACCAGACATTCGCTTTTTGTCCTCTCAATTTCTTAAACAACATCCGTGGTGTGAGAAAGCAGTGAATAGGACTTTCCTGTCAGTGGCTGTATACGTGTGGTCATATGAGAGCATTCCGAGAAAGAGCTAACTCTTCCCACCCTTGGCCGTACCAAGGCATTCGGGGGGTGGTAAGTATGTGTCGGAAGTGGGATTCGGACCCACGCCCACACCGTGGACCAGAACACTCGAGTCTGGCGCCTTAAACCGCTCGGCCACTCCGACGTTATATTAGTTCATAAATAATCCCTAGCAGTTACCATTCATTTATTCTTCATTCGGATATAACAAAGCTAATTGTGCATACGATATAAAGCTACATCTATTTATTATTATTATTATCACTGAGGCAACTATTTCATACTATTAAATTGTTTCATTCCACTCTGTAATCATATAGCATTCGTCCTTCAAAAACTAACTCTTTATTAAATTAAATTAAATAACCTTACTACTATCATGATTAACCTGAATATGAATAGAGAATAACAAATACACATTTATTATAGAATCTCTCTAGAGTTCAATAAAACAAATAAACAGATTATCTGAATTATTGTAACCTTGTATTGTGTTTAATGTTAGCAAAACATGATTATTCTACCACTCTGAAAAAACCAACCCCTCTATACACACACAGATAAGCATATAGGTCACTTTGAACTATGGTTTAGATGAGAGTATAAATGATGCTATATCCAGTTGCTAAAATCGAATTAATTATGAATAGGATCTGAATTTGAGACTTAATGATAAAAAGTGAAGTTACTAAACGGATTAATCACTTTACTTATCTTGTAAGATCGCAAGAACCTATTGGGTTGATATCTAAAATAAGAAATCTTGACACCAATTTAGAAAATCCCATTCGATTTTAACATTTTATTGCGTCACTTGTAGAATAAGTGAGAGATTTGTCTAGTAATTTTCAACAGTTCATATTGTTCTACTTTAGTTCTGTGAAACCTGATCTTTAAAAATAACAAAAATTCTTAGGTTACTAATACTCGAACGTAAATACCTTCGAAGCGCATGCTAAGACAATAGAGATACAGAGTAGTGAGTAAAGGTAAGAAACCAGTTAGTAAGGTAGTGAATGATAAGTCTACTACGGAAACACTTACTCCTAACTTCTTACCCACTACCTCCACACTTCAACTCAAGCAATAGAGATAAGGAGCGAAATGTCAGTACGATCTTTTTACTCTAAGGTTAGTTCTGTACAAGAAGTTCAGTGTATGTTAAGAGTTTTATATTATGTTAATCTGTTAGATCTTTCTAGCAACACGCTAAATATAGTGGCGATTGAGACAACTGCTTAATCAAATCGTGACACATAATTCTTCCCTTTTTCTAAATGTTTCTGATAAGTTTATTTTTATTGCTGATTAGCCATAACGTCCCCTCCCATCTTATTGTTCTCTACAGACTTTGATGGGGGATAATTCCTTACTTACCTCTCTTTTAGTGCCGAGTGTTCTCTTTTTATCATCTTTCTTTCCTAAAAGCATTAATGTCACGTAAAGTCATTAAGTAGTGTCTGGAAATATGTCGCTTTATGTATACATTTCTAGAGAGAGAGCGAACTTATTTCACAATCCTCCATACTAAGACATTTGAGGTCAAACATTTTTAAATGCTAAAATATACTTACAACATTTCAGTATATTGGTTATTATTATCCACTTCAGTTAGTCACTCAGTAATAAGAAACCTGGCATATATGTTCTTCGGTTCAAATTATCACACTTTATATCATTCAGCACAACGAGATGGAATTATCAAGATAAACGCTAGACTAGTAGAATGAGTAACACTATCAGTGTGAGAAGTAGAAGAAATTAGACACTATGTTGCGAGAAGAAAGGATAAAATTAATGAAGTAAAAAGTACAAAGTAATTTTAAAAAATTATGTGGGAAGACAAAGAGTGAATGCATCTTCTTCACTTTGACCGATTCTGATCCATTTTACCCAATCTCTTCAACCACTGGTGATGGTAATGAGACAAAGCCCAAACTAGCTAGTTTTCACCTACCTACACGACTCAGTTCAACAGTTAGTAACTATTTATTTAAACATATTAATATTGGTATAAAGAGACGCCAAAGTATTTATATACCACACACATTAAGAATGAGATTGTCAAGAGATAGAAAAAAGAACAAAAATTAATAGAAATTAGTGTACGAGAATGAAAGTAATAATAATCACAATAATAATGGGAAAAGCGGTTCACTTAAGAAAATACAACCAAAAAGTATTCCTTCGGTTAAAAATTCCCCTCATTTATATGAAGAAGGTAAAAGAAAACTACCGTAGGACCGCCACTGTCCTCGATTCTTAGACATGTCTGATAACGTTTTAAGCCACTGTGTTGCACTATCCCTAGGACCTCAACCAGGGAACTGTAAACGAGCAGAGAATGCCAGTCCTGCTTAGCTTTATTTCATACCATGTCATACACTGACCGCCTGTCCGCTTCTTCCAATCGGTACCAGAAGCCGCAAATTATCCACGATGTAAAATCCGACAGGACGACATTCGCGACATAGCCTAAGCTACCGAAGTCGGTGCTTAAAAATAGTGATATTAATCGAATTGTAGTCGTTATGGCTTAATACACGTTGCCA